AGTTTGATTCTCGTCACGTGACCAACAGGGAATCTTCAGAAGAAACAATGAGGATCATTTTAGACCAGGCAGAACAAATAAAGAGCCCGACTCTGGAAGCTAGATACCCAAACCCTGAGACATTTTGCCGAGGATCTATAGTTGTGCAGCATGTTTCTATCCACCTTTTTGACCCCAAACCGGGAAGTAAGCTCTGCACCGTCATCCGACTGGTCGAGAATCGAGTGGTGAACTGCCATCGCAGCTTCAGGTCACCTCAGCGAGCGAAGAGCATGGGAGTTACTCACAAGCGGGTATGCCAACGAGCCTTGAGGATTTTCTTGGATTATGTGGAGAACCTGTTTTGGCACTTTGAAAAAGTCCTACATCTTGAACCAAGATCCCACTCCAGGACTAGGCGTTCCTAAAAAAATGGGGTAGCTTGCATACCTTTCGAAGAGCAGGACACTCGTTGTTGAAGGACATGCAAAGAAGCACCTGTACAATGATTTGGCCGGCTGCAGAAGCTGAGTAGAAGTCTGTAGGTTATCAGTTCATTCATGTTGCTCTCGATGTCCTGAAGCGGATGCTTCGGAATCTTTGGCGGCATGTACCTCCAACATGCGCAACAGACTGAACAAGCTGCATGGCAGGCCCTCGGGGCACAGTTTCGGCCGCTTCCGTGACCTGCGCATGCTTGGAAACATTCAATATATAATCCCTATATGATCCCTATTTCATGCCTATGTAATTCTTATATGGTATATTCCCATATTCCCTACTAAGACTCAGTAAGTGATGATGAATGTGCTTGCAGCTTGCCATCTCTGAAATGTTTTCCACTGAAGTGGGAGTGGGCTTCTAGTTAGACAAGAAGGTGCCCCTAATGTAGGGAACGTAGTTTCCATTTTCTTTTCCATTATCGCTATATATCCCCTATACAATCCTTATATAATAATCCCTATATAATCCCAAAAAAAAATATGCAACCCCTAAACCCTAAACCTTTACATAATCCGTATATGTTCGCAGCGACTGAGGGGACCGCCCCTGCACGACTTCAAGCTTGTGGCCCAAGATGTGGCCTGCACATAATTGTACCTTGAGGGGTTTGGGGATATATAGTGTTATATAGGGCTCTATGGGGTTATATAGGGTCATATAGGGTTTCCTAAAATCATGGGTACGATTCGGGGGGCGCCATAATATAGATTACAGTAGATTGGGGTCTATATTCAGGTCCCATGGTCAAATCAAAACTACGGCCCCGTTCGTGGGTGTGAGTGATACGGAGCCCACAAGTTTGACAGCCACCCACCTGTAGCTTTCACGGGATGTCGGATGATGTTGCGGACCTTGTTTGCTCAGTTGCCCTCTCGGGTGAGAAGCGAAGGGGACAAAGCCGCGGGTGACCGGGAGAGAGCTGGCTGCGGACATTCTGAAATGGTGATTGTTACAAATATGATATAATCCCTATATGCTATAATCCCTATAGTAGTTTCCATTTTCTTTTCCATTATCCCTATATAACCTCAATATATACTTGGCTACTCTTCGCTCATCCTGTGGCCGACTAATTAGCTAGCAGGAACTCCTCTCAGCTGCAGGCACCCCCCAGAGCAGTCCGCGACCAAGCCGTTGGATGGTCGAGCCATCCTTTTTGGTTTAGGGTTTAGGGTTTAGTTTTTAGGGTTTATGGTTTAGGGTTTAGGGGTTTAGGGTTTAGGGTAGGTCCAAATCCCACAGGAAATCTTGAATGCCTTATGCCAAGAAGTGCTCAAAGCAAAAGCAGACCGTCCCGCCACTGTTAGAAAATTGTTGATCGCCTTGCAAGGTATGGTCAGCGGCATTCATGAGCAACAATGGATATAGCACGAGGCTGATCAACCACAGATCCCCGTGCACACCGCGAAGATAAAGTAGATGACATTGTCTGAAAATAAGTCGCTGCAGCGTGAAGCCAAGCTTTGCAGCCAAAAGCCAAAACAAGGCAACGCTGCTGCAAGTACTCCGTAAGATTCTTATGTCCTCACTTGCAAAGGTTGTATATTCCCTCAGTGCTCCCCACATTGCTCCCCCCAAGAACACCAGTCGCAAAAAGAAAAAGAACACGTCTCTGTATCTTTTCGGCTGCCTTGCAGGAGGGCGGCTTTGGCCGGAAGTTGCGGCAAGTAGCGCCTGAGAACAACTTGGAAACTTCTCATGAAATACTGGGAAGCTGTTCATTAACTAAATTCAAGTCACTTTAACAAGGAAACCCTATTGTAACTTAATTTCAACGGCAGCCCAGAACAAGAAGAGCCTGACACTGAGGGATGCAAAGGTATACAGACATGCATGGAAACATCCGTAGACGTGTATGCAGACATGCAGAAGGCATGAAAATATGTGTAGCGGATATACACATACATATCCCAAATATGTCCATGATTGCGGGGGGTCAGCAGGGTTCTGGGAGTGACGGGTAAGTTTTCCTGGGGTTGCTGTCACTGAACTCAGACTGAGTTACTAGCATATAGGTATATAGTGCATAATGGGGTTTCCTTATTGTAGAGATTTCAAAAAAAGTTCCCCCTAAATCCTAAACCCTAAACCCTAAATCCTAAACCCTAAACCCTAAACCCTAAACCCTTAACAGCAAACCAGTTTGTGGGAGTGCTTGAGGCTACGAGGTGATGAGGGAACAATGAGGAAATCATGGGAGACTCTGAAGAACTCGGTTCCGGGTTTGGGTTTTAGGGTTCAAGTTTTAGGGTTTAGGATCTAGGGTGTAGGGTTTAGGATCTAAGGTTTAGGGCTTAGGTGTTAGGGTATAGGGTTTAGGGCTGCCAAAACAGGGGGACCCCGACAGAAGCCCCCGAACACAATAATCCTTATGATGGGGACTCCCAAAATGGTACCCGTAATTTCGGAAAGCTCCACAATGGGCCATGTTGACAAATCATTGCTCACCTGGCCAACAAGGGCTTGTACTGTAAAATTTGATCGATCTTTTTTTTTGCAAAGTGCCCAGGATGCATTCGTGGGAGCTTACCTGCTCCTAGCTTCATGTTGCCTGGCGATGGGGAAAGGATTCTTTCAAGTGCGGCCGACATTGCCCGCCCCCGGGTGAATTTTAGAATCACAGTCTTTGGCGTTTTAAGGATTTTGTAGTATGTGGCTTGCCAAATTTTCCAGGACCGCCTTCCTTCTGTTTCGAATGCTGAAGTACGTCCTTCCCAGACCCCCTAAAGGACCTGTATCCAAAAAATGGAACCCCTAAGCATCCTCTAGTTTCCCCAATGTAGTATTGGGTTCGTATTGGGGGATTGGATGTTGGATCCCTTAGGGGGTCTGGGCTGTCAAAATCAAACCTACATAAGAGCAACCATGCTGAGTGAGCAGACGCTCTCAATCGGCACGCAGCGCTGCATGCCATGACGAGCTGAGAAAGGTAATGTCTGACAATAAAGGTCATGGCTCGGTGAACTCGGTGGACTTGCTGAATTATGATCTGCAGATCTAAACAGAGCTGCCCCCAGGGTGCAAATGCAACACTGGCTTCCATTTTGGACGGTATGCTGTTCTCAAGCCACTGTAGCTGCAAAGACGCAATGAAAGCTGGAAATGAGGATCAGCCGAACAATAGCTCTGTGCCCTCACTGCAGACTGTCTCTTAACTCCTCTTGGTCTTGGTCTGTTTGCGCATCATGGTGAAGACGGGGCCGGCTGCCCTCGCTCCGCCGCATGCCTCAGGGAGCTATGTCAGGCCTAACGTAGGGACACGGACCCAGGCAGGCCGTGGCGGAGCATGGGGACCAGGCGCCTAAATTCCAGTCGCAACCTGAAGAACAAGAGCCCCTGAGCGTGTTTTGATTTTCGTCATGTCTTTCATGAATGACTAAGACACGCCAATTTATTGACCACCCTCCTTATCTATACCAACATCATGTTACGATGATGATAAGATCATAATTATGGTGGCTGTCAACACTGATCGTTCGTATTGCCATTGGGGGGTACGCACTCCCCCTTCAACCATTACTGCTGCTGATGGTTGTTTTGACGCTTCAATCCTTATCGAGGTGATGTGCTTTCAGGAGCAGAGCCAAACAGATGGGTCTGTACAAGCTAGGTGCTGATTGTTCAGACTGGTGGCACTCAAGGTTGTACAGGGCTGCTAAGCCCGAAACCCGATAAACCCTGACTTCAAGCGGCAGCTATGCTTGTGAGCAGGCACAGTTGCCGGTTGCAGGCCTTTCTAGGGTGTATATATATATATATACTATGGTAGTTTCCAGTTTCTTTTCCATTATCCCTATACAACCCCAATAGAACCCTTACATAACCCTAATATAAATCCTAATCCCTGTAGTTTCCATTTTCTTTTCCATTATTCCTATATGACTTATATACCCATAGGGATCCTACAGGTCAAGGGGAGCTTCAATGCCAGTGGCCAACCCTGGGCTCCAGGAGCTGGGGTTTAGGGTTTAGGGTTTAGGGTTTAGGGTTTTAGGGTTTAGGGTTTTAGGGTTTAGGGTTTAGGGTTTTAGGGTTTAGGGTTTCGGGTTTAGGGTGACAAGGATGTCGATGTCTGTGGGGCACTGGGGAAGGGCAGCCTTGCAGCCTTTGGCAACCCCTGGAACTCATATGGGTAGTTGTCAAAATTATGATCCCTTTTTAGGTACCCTAAATATTAGGTGCCGTATTAGAATAGGGATCCAAAAAGGGACCATAATTTTGACAACCACCCATATAGCAGAGTAAAATTGCCGCGTATAAATCTGAAAACCTCCATGGAAATCCCGACACCTGTAATTAACCTGCAATTACTCTGAGCACCCGCTGCCCCACACTCTGAGACTTTTGACTTGAAACTGCAGAAGCACAATTTGTGCTTAAAATGCTTAAAGGAGCTGCTGCGAGAGTACGGTGCATGCGTGGACATCGCCGCACGCAAGTGTATAGCCTGTACCCTAAACCTTCTAAGGCTGAAACTCCAGAAGTATGGCCTCATCGTTTTGACGAAGCTCAAGCAGCTACTCTAACTGGTCTGGGGCCGCAGGAGCGCCAACAGCCTGGCTGAGATCTGATACGGCAGCTGCTGGGATTTCGTGCGGAAGCGCCCAAGGTGTTGCGTTTGCCCTTTGTGGCTTGGACTCGACGCCATGGCCTTCGCTGCCGTCCTCTGCGAGCCACGTGGCGACGTCGACCCCGTGGTAGCTGTAGCCCTTCCGCTCGAGCCAGGCCACCTCAGCTTTTTGCGAGTTCCCGAGGCCGTCCGAAGCTTCCAGGAACTCCGCATCTTCTTTGGGAAGCCTTAGTTCGCTAGAAATCATAAAAACCTAAATGAACATAGCATGCATGATTAAGCTGTTCAGGGTAAGAATGAGGGTCCCTAAACCCTACACCCTAAGGGTAAGAATGAGGGTTGCACTTTATTGTTCATTCAGCTTCAAGAAGTTGAGGAGACTCCGAAAAAACCAGGACAAAGGATACTGCTGAGGGACCCGGAAGCCAGGCGAGGAACAAGCGGTCAACTTCTTTGCCGTAGCGGGAGGAGCTGTCCTCACAGCGCTCGCGAGAGAGGCCATCGAGACCTGCGGCGGAGGCTTGTTGGAACTCTGCGGAGTTCTTGAAGTCGGCGCGCTTGGCCTGGATTTTGTCCCGTCGAAGGTGCTCGCTTCCAGCTGTGTCGAAGCTTTCCACCTTGCACTTGCCCACCTGGCCTTTCATGAAGTAGACGTCTAGCTGAGCTCCAGACTTCACGGCAAGCTCCACGTTTGCCATCCACTTCTTCCACCACCTACAGCCCCAAGGGATCGTGCTGGCCACTGTCCTTCGTACCTAGTTGATGGTTGGGATAGCAATTAAGCAGTTAACTGTCCATATTCCGGACAGGCTTTAAGTAAAGTAGCCCAAAAAATGTACAATGTTACCCAACTATTACTATTACTATTACTATTACTATTACTATTACTATTACTATTACTATTATTATTACTACTATTACTATTACTATTACTCTTACTATTACTATTACTATTATTATTACTACTATTACTATTACTATTATTATTACTATTATTATTACCCAACTATGACAAAGGTACCGTCTGGCAGGAACACCACGGCCGCGCTGACCTGCCCCTGCCGACTCTCAGCAACCAGCCTCTCCCAGGCCCCTTCGTACTTACCAGGCCAGGAGGTGATGCAGGGCCTGCCAACCTCGCGGATCACCCACCCTTCAAACCGGATGCTTCTCTTCTGGACCTCGGCCTCCGCGGATTCTAGCTCCTGTGCCTCGAAATACATGACCCCCGCTGTCCCGTTATCAAAGGATCCCCCACGCCAGCAGCCGCAGCAGGCCGCCGGCCAGAGGATGAGCGAGGTCCAACAAAAGCCCTGTTGCGCGTGCTGGATCGTCATCCAAACCAATGCCGCAAGGCATAGCAGTCCGACAAGCCAAAAGAAGCTGGAGGCACAGGCCGCGAACTTGTTGTTGTCGTCGCATCCATGCTTGCAAATGAAAAAACTGAAGCAGCATCAGAAGAGGGCCGCCATAAAGGCCAATCCAGCTGCGCCCTCTGGGTGCGGCGGCGGATCAGAAGCGAGAAAAAAAAGTACAAACGGAAACACTGGCAGCATGCATACAAGGCAACACAGGCTCTTGAGTCCTGAAATGAGCGCCGTGTTCTAAGCCTTGTGTGCTTGCCACAGTCGCCGCTGCCGCTCCGATGCGATCGATCGGCGTTTTCTTTCTCTCGCCAGGGATCTTTCGTGGAAGGCGTCCTGGTCTTTCCCACGTGTGCTGACTTCGCAACAATCTTATTACCCCAATATTTATACCCTATAATCCCTATATAACCCGTTTAATCCCTGTAGTTTCCATTTGATTTTCCATTATCCCTATATATTCAGAGGCGCGCAGTGTCCCTTGACGCTCAGAGGTGCTTTGCACTGCCGGCTCCTCGCGCAGCCGGACCTGTGTCAGTTCGTCACCTGACAGAAGCAGTGACTGCTTCGGATGAACCACTTTCCAAGTTGGTTTAGGGTTTAGGGTTTAGGGTTTAGGGTTTAGTTTCTGATTCTGGGTCCTTCACCTCAATGGGCGCCTTTAGGTCGTTGAGCACTGTAACGGCCATGGCGGTAGGAGCCAATGCCCGAAGGCCCTGACTGCGTCACTTTTGCGAGGTGCTGGCTCGGGCCAGGTGGCTCTTGCACCACAGTTGGAAATATAGCTCCCCTTAAGTAGATAGAATATGGGGTATATGGGGATCCGATTATAATATACCCATATATGCCATATTCTATCTACGTAAGGGGGACAATAAGCATCAACTCCAGACACACAAAAAATGCTGAGGTGCCTAGGCCAGTAGGACGGTCTGAAGGCTGACATGCGCACATTGGGGTCCACTTATCTATCTGAGACCTCCTAAAGGATCCAAAAAATCGAACCCCCCAAAATGTACCAATTACTACATTGGGGAAACTAGGGGATTCTTACGGGTTCCATCTTTTGGATCCTTTAGGGGGTCTGGAAGAGGAAACTACCATATGGATTCGATACAAACATGACTCAGAAACAGTGGCGAGCCTTGTCCATCTCCACGAAGGTCTCGACGTCCTGCTTGTTGCTACTGTTGGGCCCCAATGGCCACCGGTGTAGTCCTGGCTGATCACTTGGTGACCATTTTGCAAGCTTTCCCTGATCTTGAGTTTGTCTAGAGACTTGCCTGTCCGCTACTCCGCTGGCTGATCAAAACGGGCCAGCCTGAAAGGGAAAGTGCTGGATAGGAGCTCAGGCAAATTTTCAGAAAGCTTTCTCACCACAAGCGGAAACTCAGGACAGCCACAGGTCTCGAAAACGCGGCCTCCGTTCTCGCAAGTCTTCTGCTTGGAGAGTTGGAGGCTCAGCTGCTACCTGCTTGGCAACTTGTCTTTGCACCAACGTTCTGCAATCCAGCTTAGACCCGTCCTCCTCGCCGCCTGTGGCGTTGCCAGAGCCTGGCAACATTCCAGCGTTCCTCAACATCAGGATTCCGGCCCCACACGCTCCAAATTCCGACTCTAGAGAACCTTGAGCTTACTGGTAGGTAAGAAAGAAATATAATCCCTGTATCATGCCAATACATACAAATATATGCATATACAAACCAGTTTTTCGTTTGATCCGTACACAATCTATGAGTATCAGCCAGTACGAAAATGAATCAAGATCCGCTGGCAATTATAGAAATGAATTAAAAATCCGATATTGCGCAAATGCTATAAAACAACGTTATTTGCAGTGGTTTCAGCCTCTGGGCAGTTCTTTGGGGGAAGGACCAAATATAGATATATATATATATATATCTATATACATCTCTTACTGCCTCCTAAACCCTAAACCCTAAAAAACCCTAAACCCCACAAAACTTTGATAAACCAGCAACCGGACAGCGCATGCAATGCTCTGAGACGTCTGGGCGAGCCAGGCCTGCGGCCGTTGGCCTGCATCTGAATGGTGCTTCAGGGATGTAGACACCTATATAGCATATATATATATGTTTCTACATGTATCTATACATATGTATATATATATATATGCATATGTATATATATATATACATATGTGTATATATATATACATATATACATTTATATATATATATATACACATATATCGGCGCATGTATGCATAGAGATATATATATATATATACATATATAAAACTGTGTGTACCTGTGAGGGGTGAGGGCATTTAGCGATATATTATATGTGCATATGTACATGCTGACTCCTGTGATGACCATAGCAAATAGCGGAAAGGTATGGGCACACGATAAGGATGGACCCAGACGTTGAGGAACTTGAACTGTTTAGCTACAAGAAGTACCCCATGATTCACTATATATCCATAGTATGTTAACTCACACTAAATCCCTGCCTACATACACATGGTATGGGAACTTATATTAAGTTCCTTAACGGCAACCCAGTAAACCCCCACAGCCTAAACCCGCCAATGTCCGTCCTCGGCTCTGGTGAAGCTGGGATTTGCAACTGCGTGCCCGTACCTGCAACCTTCCACGGCAGACAAGGAAAGCCCTTCCCATCTGAGTCCGGTGAATCGCGGTTAGGGTTTAGTGTTTAGGGTTTTAGGGTTTTTAGGGTTTAGGGTTTAGAGTTTTAAGGTTTAGGGCTTTACGGTTTTAGGGTTTAGGGTTTAGGTTTCGGGCCTGGGGTCTGGGCGTTTGGGTTTGTTGTTTAGGCGCTTTGAGGCTTTGTGTGCCAACTCTTGCACCCTACGCACAGAAAATTCCTAACGCTGCACTCGAATATGAATGGTAGTTTCCCAAAATTAGGATCCCCCTTATATACCCCAATAAATTATACTCCTGATTATGGGGAACTCACAAGGGCTTCCTCGACCTTAATCCCGAAACCCTAATCCCTAAACCCTAATCCCTTAACCCAAAGCCCTGAACCCAAAGCTCTAAACCCAAAGCCCTATATCTAACCCCTAAACCTAAAGCCCTACATCTAACCCCTAAACCTAAAGTCCTATTTCTAACACCTGGACCCCCAAACCTAAAGCCCTATATCTAACCCCTAAACCTAAAGCCCTTCAAACCCGAATGAAAATGGCTCGCAGCTGGGAGCCGCACTGGAACTGGCCGGAAGCTTCCCGCATTTATTCTGTTCAGGAAGTCCTGATAGGATTCGAGTTGAGGCTTTAAGGTTTAGGGTTTAAGGTTCAGGGTTTAAGGTTTAAGGTTAAGGGTTAAAGGTTTAGGGCTTAGGGTTAAGGGTTCAGGGTCCAGGGTTGAAGGTTGAAGGTTCCGGAGAGGGTTTATGGTCTAGGGGTCAAGGTAACTGGCCAAGAGTCGTGCATGCAGGTAGCCCCCAAAAATGCCCTGTAAAGGCTAGTCTCCATTTGAGAGTTGCACTAAGGAAGATTACAATTTCTTATCAAGTACTGTACGTAAAGAAGTGAGATGATCTTACTGCACAAGAAGGCTGTGCAGCATCCCGATGAAACTCCTGCTGGTTTGGATTCCAGCTTCTGTAGCTTCGGGGAAAGTAGCACCCAAGCTAAACGAAACCCCTAATCAAACCCTCTATAACCCTAAAACCATTATCTAACCCTAAACCCTGAACCCTTATCCCTAAATCCTAGAGAACGCAATAGAAACCTACACCCTAAACCTTATGGAACCCTAAGCCCTATAGAACCCAAAATTCTCAACCCTACAGAACCCTAAACCCTAAACCCTTCTAGGATGGTTTGGGGTAAAGTAATGTAGCAATTGCTGGAAGCAGCAGGCCTGGTCTTGCGCAGAGTTGAGTGCCTCGGCAGGATGAAAGTAGGTTAGGGTGTTAGGGTTTGGGTTTCAGGGTTTAGGGTTGAGTTTAGGGTTCAGGCTTTAGGGTTTAGGCTTTAGGGTTTAGGCTTTAGTTTAGAGCTTAGGGTTGAGGGTTTAGGGTTTAAATTTAAGGTATGGCAAGATGGAACTTCTCGACTTTGCAGGTCCACTCTGTGCCCACCTAAACTTTAATAAAAAAAAAAAGACTGCATAGGGAAAAATCCTTGAATGGTACCCAAAATCAAAAGGACCCATCTGCAATATTCAAAATGAATAGATAACACTGGCCCAAAAAAAACAGCACATGCGTTCCTATTCGATATCCCTACTACCATAGGAGCCGCGGTACGGGGATGTTTTCGGAAACCCTTAACCCTGTATATCTCTATAATAGCCCCTCTATAACCCCTATATTCCCTTTAAAGGTACCCCCTAGTTTTAGGAAACCCTAAACCCTATACATTCCATTCCTATAATAACCCCTATATAAGCCTATATCTCCTTTTAAGGTACCCCTAATTTTAGGAAATCCTAAACCATATACATCCCTATGATAGCCCCTCTATAACCCCTACATTCCCGTTAAAGGTACCTCTAAGGATACCCTGAACCTTATTTTTACATATATATATATATGTATATATCTATCTCTCTCTCTCTATAATTACCCCTTTATATAGCCCATAAACCCTAAACCCTACACCCTAAACCCTAAACCCTACATTCCCTTTTTAGGTACCTCTAACTTTGAGAAACCGCCATAGGCCGGCTTTCCCAGCCTCCTCTTGAGGCGTCAAGCGGTGCAGCAGCCATGCCCATGCCTACCGTGCTAAGGATGTTAGGGCTTGGGGTTTAGGGTTTCTTGAGTTTGGAGTTTCTTGAGTTTAGGATCTCTTGGGTTTAGGGTTTAGGGTTTAGGATGCAAGGTTTAAGGTTTAGGTAGTCTCTAGGATGTTCGGATGGAGAATTTCTCTGGACCCCTTTTTTGGCGGTCCCTGCTCTAAGTATCTTAATGCCTTGAGTAAACCAGAGGGGCACCCTTTACGAAACATGCCTAGAGATCCAGGTCTAGGGTTGAAGGTCCATAACCATAGCACTATAGCTTTAGCACTATGCAGACACGGCTATATCAAAGTCCCTTCTTGCTAGGTCTGTGCATGAGGATTGCATTCTTTGGGAGGGCTGCATGTATGCAGACTATGTCCTGGCACATACCCATATCCATTGCAACAACCGTGATCGCAACAGTAGCACCAGAACAAAAATCACTTACAATCGATGCAGCGGCAAGCAGAGGCCACAAGGCAGAGAACACCAGAACAAGCCTCGCGGAACATGGTTGCGCCAAGCCGGCAACACGCACGGCTTACAAGGGAATCGCCTGCTGTGTGAATGAATTATTGAACCTATGGGTGGGGCTTGGTGCCGTACCTGCTTGCAATATCTGAACACATGGAGCCGGACAGCTTCGTCATACCAGTGTATGGCGCCCTCATACCCCGATCGTGTGTCAGCCAATGCGTGGAGGGTCGATGAAAGCTGCAGAGAAAGGAAAGAAGAGAAGAGCAAGAAATAGGGCCATCGAGAAGAGCAACCTTGTGCACGAATTGTCGTGGCCGCTTTTCAACTCGCATCCAGGATCCACAAGCTCACATGGTCTTTGCATGTCGAGCAGGACCTCTGCACCACTTCTGACAGGCACACGGGCGCAAGCTGATTCTTGCGTGATTCTTTCTCAGCTCCTGCTAACAATGTATAACAAGAAGTGGCGCAAAACAAGGCACTATCGCAGAAGCGCGCTCAGTGACCTCCCGCCAGCCATCGGCTGAAGGAGATGTAATTCTGACAGGCAGGTTTTTCAGGATTCCAACTGGCTAACTGAATCATATGCTCGCGACCTTGTTGGCTGGATCCAGCTCAAGCGCTGCTGCCAACATTTCCTGCAAGCAACGCGGTTCTCACAGACTAGAAACATGCGAGCCACTTTAACTTGTGACCCCAATACGCTATAGTCCTTATCATTGGGACCCCAATATACTATAAGCCTTATTATCATATACTATACTCCTTACTAGTATTGTTACTTGACTTCATGCTGGGCCTTGGCCATTTGCACATTCCCAGCATGCGCCTCCGGCATTGAAGGCTAAAGGGTGTCACGTACACACATATGAGCTACGGAATTTAGGTTGGGGGGACCTATAGGGGAATACATAGGGTTTTGGGGGGGGCCCTATTAAGGAATATACTAGAACTTTAGTCCAGGGCTCATAGAATTCTCCACATAGATCAACGAAAGGCAGTCGGGCGGGTTGCTTGTCCCTAGTGTGTAGCTGGGAAGGGGGAATGGTTTCTAGTAGACTGAGGGATCGAGCATACCCGGGACATATCTATATATGGGGATTTCCCAAAATTAGGGTACCTTTTTGGGGGGTCCCATAAGAAGGACTATAATATTTTGGGGTCTATATTGGGGTCCCCTTATTTTGGGAAATTGCCCTATATATTTACATATATATATATATTGCTTTAGGAGGTGTATTCCCCGGCGACCTAACGATGGAAGTTCACTTTAAAAGTGTAATGAAGCTTCCCCCCTTCATAGTGAACCCTTTTGAGAGAGAGAGAAGAGAGAGAGAGAGAGATAGATTATCCCCATATAACCCCAATATACCCTATTATAGTAGTTTCCATTTTCCTTTCCATTATCCCCATATAACCCCAATAGTACCCTATGGGGATCCATCCCATTGTTCCCTACTGAATTTAAGTTCCTTAAATCCCTATCTTCCCCCAGTTTCCATTTCATTTTCCATGTTCTTTTCCATTTGATTCTTCATTATAGGGGGATAATATCCCTAAACCCTAAACCCTAAACCCCCCTACTTAGCACCATGTAGTTGACTCTCAAGATGACATTGTAACTCATCGGGCGCAAGGATCCCCCCAAGACCGCACCGAGGTTCAAGGAAAAAGCCTAAATGGGGGTTTCCCAAAATTAGGAGTGCCCTTTTGGGGGGTCCCTATAATAAGGACTATAGTATATTGGGGTCTATATTGGGGTACCCTAATTTTGGGAAACTACCAAATGCCATGAAGGATTGCAGAACCCCAGCATGAACCCGCCAAAAACCCCGTAAATCCACCAGCCCTAGATCCTCTGTTGTTACTTTGACACCTCAGAAAAGGGACTTTCTCAATACAGTCGCAACATAATCTCTGAAGGAGCACATCCCTCGGCTCCTCCCAGCACCCTTGACCCTGAGATCTAAGTCGTAAACAATCTAATCCTAAACCCTAAACCCTAAGTCCTAAGCGCAAGCCTAAACCCTAAAACGAGAGCCCTAGGTCCCAAAACCCTGAGAAGAAAACCTGGTGCTTAAGTGAGAGTGGGGCAGTGGATCCCTGTAATACTCCCTATGTAATCACCGTACATACCCCCCCAGTGGTACCTATACTCACTCGCCCAAACCCTAAATCCACTGCCCCACTCTCCCACTAAGAACCATTAATTCTATTAGGCTGTCTACATAATCCCCATACATACCCGCACAATGGTACCCATATTCACTCTCCCACTCGACCAGTAGGCTTAATGCCTCCAGCTGCGCCAAGTTGGCTAGGCAGCCATGCTGCGAGCCATCGACGGTGACCGCTTTCTGGTAGGCGCCTCGGGCCTGTGCTTTAGGGTTTAGGATTCAGGTTCTAGGGGTTAGGGTTTAGTGTGTGATGAAGGTATTTCAAAGTTTCGGGGCTAAGGCTTAGGGTCACACTAGGGGTTTAGGGAGCTTCAGTCAAGAGGATTTTGGCAGTTTGAGGGCTTCTGTTGAGATTCTCTTTGACCTTTATGGAGTGAAATTCGCAGGGATGAGGGCTTCAGGCTTCAGGATCTTGACGCGATTTAGGATTTGGTAGTTTTTCCAAAATAAGGGGACCCAAATATAGACCCCGACATACTATAGTCCTTATTATTGGGACCCCAAATGGTACCCCTAATTTTGGGAAACCCCCATTTAGGGTTTTAGGATTTAGGACTTAGGGGACTCCGCTCAAGGCGGTTTAGGCCCCATAAGCCATGCAATAACCGCACTTATGCCCCTTCATGAACTACTTGCTAAGTCCCCTGACTCTCCAGGTAGGCTGCGTAGTCTCTTGATATAGGTTTTTGGTTTGCGGGGATTAAGACATGGAAAAATCTGGAAGATCAAGGGCCCCGAATGGAAGAGCCACCAGCACTATTTGAGCACATGCCCACACGAAGACACAATCTAGGTAGGCATTTTGCAAAACACGAGTGTTGTCAAGAATTAATGATCACAAGGCACCATAGTAGATTTCCTGATAATGAGTTGGAGTTTCCCTACATGGGATAAAATGCTCGTATCGATCTTTCCATCCCCTAGCCCAGACCCCAAAATCAAAACTCTACACCCGGAACCCCCAAACTCTTTAGCCAGCCTTCTCGAAGTTCTTCTGCCGCTGGTGAAACTGTCCGATTCGAGCCCATGCCCGCGAAGTCCTTGCCGGGCTGGAGACAAACGGAAAATCCTGTTTGGCACCCATTGGGTTATGCAGGGATTATGAAGGGATTAAGGAAATTGGTGCCAGGGCTTGAGTGATTGCCAGGAGTTCATCAGAATTACGGTTCTTCCTTTGGGGCCCTGTAACTAAGATTCTGTTCCTTGGGGGGCAACCCAAATGCTGACCTACTCCGTCTTGGAGATGTAAAGAACTCAACATGTACTTGCGAATCCTGTATTGATGCAAGCACTTTATTTTCTGCTTGTCGCTAGTCCAACTCTTGGAGGCCTTGAACACTATTATAGTAATAGTAATAAAAGTCAGAGTGATAATAATAGTAATAGTAATTGTAATTGTAATTGTAACAATACAAAACGTACAATCCCCCCTAACTTTTCCGCAACAGGTCAGCTGTCCTAGGTTCGGGCTTTGAATGGTTTGGATTCACAGTTTGCGGCACTTCTCTGTCCAGCAGGGGCCTCGAGTCTTCCCCTCTCAATCACAAGCCTTGGATGTATGGCTGTTGCTTTTTCCTTCTTCATCTTCCAACCAAAAAGCACCTTTGCATAGCTGGGGCTCAACCTTTCACAGTTCTCTGGTGCGGGAGTTGCATACGTAATGTAGTGTAATGTAATGTAATGTAATGTAATGTAGTGTAATGTAGGGTAATGTAAGGCAATGTATATGTATATGTATATGTATATGTGTATGTATACGTATGGATGAATGTATGTGTATGTGTGTATATGTGTGTATATGTGTGTATATGTGTGTATATGTATGTGCATGTGCATGTGCATGTGTATGTGTATGTGTATGTATGTGTATATATATATATATGTATATGTATATGTATATGTATACGTATGTGTATGTGTATGTGTATGTGTATGCATATGTTATCATGTGTTTATGTACGTGTATATAAATATATGTATATGTAGGTGTAGGTGTACATACGCGTATGAACATACATGTATATATATACATACACACACAATCCCACTCATCCAACACTACATGCTCCGCATGCCCGAGGCGGCGACTGCTGGTTATCAGAAGCACGCTCCAGGCTCTTGAGCAATTCCTGCGAGGCAAGGTCCGCTTCTGCGCCTTCTGGTTTAGGGTGTAGGGCTTAGGTCAAGTTCGGGTCTAGGGTTTAGGGTTTAGGGGGTTTAGGGCTTAGGTCAAGTTCTGGCTCCAAAGCCCAGGGTTATCCTGCTGGTGCTTAAGGGAGAGTCATGCAGTGGATCCTTGTAATATTCCCAGATTATCCCTATATGTCCCCCTATAATGCCCAATAAAGATCCCCATACTCATACTCCCTGCATAATCCCTGTATGATATATTGCCTTGTTCCCTATTAAGAACCACTAAGTTTCAAGCTGCCAAAATCTGCTGCGAGGACATGTCATCCTCAGAAGGCGGCACTTAGCATGTCCTGGCCTTCAGCAGCATACTACAGATTTTAAGGGGAGTCTAGATCTGCCTACTAAGGATTATATGAACCCAAAATTAGGGATATTATCCCCAATGTAATGGAGAATGGAATGGAAAAGAAAATGGACAATGAAATTGAAACTGGGATTATATAAGCGTTTACAGGGGTTATAGTCCAAACTCCTAGCATCCCCCTTTACAAGCCCCCTATACTACTCCGCTATATACTTCCCTATATAACCCCCTTTTAAGGAGTTTAGACTATAGTTTGGGTACTGCCCCCACCCAGTAACAGTCTATATTAGGGGTCCTATTAAGGGCCATATATAACCATATTATACTTATTTTCCAACTGTTACTGAGGGGGGGCAGTACCCAAACTATAGTACAAAAAGTATTCGCAAACCCTGAGCCCTAAACCCTAAACCCTAAACCCCTGGCCTCTGGCACATCTTCGCAGAAGGGCATGGACAACATGGACATGGGCGTGCGAGCACTACTGCGTGAGGATGGCGATGGGCCTCAAATCTGACTTGCAGTTGATCTAGGGTTTAGGGCTTAGGGTTGAGGGTTTAGGGTTGAGGGCTTAGGGCTTAGGGTTGAGGTCTTAGGGTTTAGGGCTTAGGGTTGAGGGCTTAGGGCTTAGGGCTTAGGGTTGAGGGCTTAGGATTGAGGGCTTAGGATTGAGGGCTTAGGGTTTTGGATTTAGGGTTTTGGGTTTAAGGCGTGGGGTTTAGGGCTTTTGGTTTAGGGTTTTGGGTTTAAGGCGTGGGGTTTAGGGTATGGTTCTGCTTCTAAGAGTCAAGGTCTCCAAGTCGCTTCTGAATTTCGATTCAAGTCCCAATCATCGGGGACGTATTCTAGTAAACCTTTGTGATGCCCAAAATCCCGCGGTTTAGGGTCTAGGGTTTAGGGGATTTAGGGTTTAGGGGGTTTAGGGTTTAGGGGTTTAGGGTTTAGGGGTTTAGGGTTTAGGGTTAACATACCCAAGCCTTACTATTGGATAGTAGGAAATTCGGTAATATAATCCGCATAGAATCCCTGTGCAATACCTTCCCTTGTTCCCTACTAACCCCCAAGCAACCAAGGTGTCTCAGGGTGCCACCGGCCGGACTATGCGATCTTTTCAGCTCGGATCTGAAATCCTGGCTCTTCACTTAGGGGTACCTACTATAATGGAGAATCAAATGGAAAAAAAATGGAAAATGAAATGGAAACCGGGATTATATAGAGGATTATACAGGCTTTAGGGTTTCCGAAAATTGGGGGTACCATTTTTGGGAAGTCCCAATACTAAGGATTCGAGTATTTAGGGGTCTATATCGGGGCTCCCTATTATGGGAAACTACCATGTGCTTACTCCTTGGGAATGAAGCAAGGGATCATAGGAGTACTTCTGGAGACTATATGGTAGTTTCCCAAAA